ATATGTTTTTTTCTCGTGAAAAAATAATTAATCTGTACAAAAGAAATAAGTTAAAAAATCTAATCTTTTGGTTTGTGGTTGTCCAGCAAAAACTTGTTCTCATGGCGACATTTAGATATTAGTTCGTTTTTTGTGTTTAAAAATTCTTGAGGATTTTTTTACAATAAAATAATTAGTTTTGCGTATATATATATATATATATATATATATATATATATATATATATATATATATATATATATATATATATATATATACTTACATAATTTTTTTTTTTTTAACATCTTTGCTTCCAACAAGGCTGCAAGCAACCACTGATTAGTGTTGGAAGTTACTGGAAGAGAAAAGATGAAGATTGTAGAGCAAGATAATAATTGACAGATGACTTAAAAGATTGCAAATCATAGGAATCAAGAAAGCAAGATGGAGGAAATGAATTCCAAAGAACTGATGTTCAAGGAAAAAAACGAGATGAATAAGAGTTTTTGGAGCACTTACAGTACAGAACAGTAACAGAAAAAGGATGAAACTTAATTGAATGATGAGTAACACGAGAATGAATTTTAGTAGATGGCACAAGAGAGGCTAGCTCTTTAGAGCAGTGCCCATTATAGTATTTGTAGAAAAGAGAAAGAAAAGCAACATTACGATGATGTGACAAAGGTTGAAGGTTGGCTGCAAGAGCAGGTCCAACTATGTTTACATTGCGTTTTTGCACCTTGTCTAAAAGAGAAAGGGCATCATTAGAAGATTCGCCCCAGATATAGCAACAGTATTCCATACAAGGCCGGATTTGAGATTTATAGAGATAGAGAATAGAATCCAGAGTAAGAAAGTGACGAGCTCGATAAAGAGATGCAACTTTAGCAGATGCTAATTTTGCAACGGATTTGATATAGGTTTCCAAGAAAGATCAGAAGTAAGAGTTAATCCTAGAAGATGAAGGGTAGACCACTCATCGAGCACATTACCGTTCATAAATATAGGAAGGTCTAATTTATTGTGACAATGATTGGTGGAAAAAATTGAGTTTTATCTGAATTAAAGTTCACCAGCCACTGTGAACCCCATGCTGTAGCAGAAGCGAGATCCTTTTCAAGCTCAAATGCCCCCTGCAAGCAATCAGAGGAAGTTGGCTTTTTATTGTGACAAGAATAAATGGTAGTATCATCAGCAAACAATGCTATCTTAGATGTGAGAATATCTGGAAGATTGTTAATGTAAATTGAAAAGAGTATAGGGTCAAGGATTGAACCTTGAGGAACCCCTGAGGTTACAGAATAAGAAGGAGAGTACTGTCCATCAAAGACAACACTACGATTTTTCAATACTACGATTGGAAAGGAAGGATTTAATAATCTTAAAGATGTTTCCAGATATACTGTAAGAAGAAAGCTTATGGAGAAGACCAGCATGCCAAACTTTATCAAACGCTTTAGAAATGTCAAGAGCTATTTATTTTTGTAAATCATTTTACAATAGTTTTGATAATAATGATAATAATAATAGTAATAATAACAAAAATATATAAAAATAACATAAGATAAAAAATATAATTATACAAATTATAGTAATTGTAATAATAAGTATGTTTACAATAATTACAATGAAAAAATTATAATAATAACTAATATTAATATAATAATAAGTTAATGATTTATTAGGATGGTGTCACTCATACAGAAATCTGATCAAAGGAGTGACACCAATTTTTAATATAATATAAGTAATAATAAGCAAAGACACACACTGAAACACATGGACTGTAAACACACTAACCAAAGCACATAAAATATACATCAAAACAAACATGAAGAAATTAATTTGCAGCTTTTACTAATAAAAAAAACAAACAAAAATAAACAAAAAGTGCTGATGATAATTGTAGTAACTACGAAAAGAAAATTAAAATAATATTTAAATCATAAGGATACTAATGCCAAAAAGTTAGAATAAAAAGTTTTTCAGAATTTTTTTAAATTGATATTGTTTAAGATGGATTAAAGGTATTTTAGGATATATTTTTTTGGACTTATTCAAAATGCATGCAAAGCTCCTGTTCCATTCACAGACGCACTGATAAACAATAGAATGTTTACCATACTTCTGGGTTTTAAAAGATGGTACATTTAGTTTTCCATTGTGTATATTTCTAGTCGAGTAGAAATGTAATAGTCTACTTTCTGTGAACAAGTTTGTGATAGACAAAAACAAAAAGAAGATTAGCATACTTTACTAGCTTTAGAAAATTTGGAATGAAAAGTTTTTTGAAGGACTTCAATGTATCTGATTTAATTGGTTGGAAGTTTATTAATCTGATGGATTGACGCTGAGACGATAGCAACTTGTTAATGCGATAGTTTTCAACTTGACCCCAAACTTGACAACAATAGCTGAGATGAGATGAGAATAATGCATAATAAATATTATTAAGTGTAACTTTATCGACATAATGACGAATTATTGAAAGCATACCGTTAGCTCGAGTTTCTTGCTTAGTTTATCAATATGAAAGTTCCATGAAAGATTACAATCAATTAATACACCAAGATATTTAATAACTCTTGAAGGATATAGCTGTTTATTATTAATTTTGATTTTATTTTCAACATTTTTAAAAAAATTGTTTTTTCTTGGAGATGAAAAAAAAATTAGTTCAGTTTTTTTAGTATTGAGACATATTAGGTTAGCATTTAACCAGTGAGCTATACCTTTTAAATACAAATTAACATTTTTACATAAAGAATGATACGATTTGTTGATGTGCAAGAGATTTGCATCATCAGCAAACAGATGGATTGAAGAGAAGTGAACAGAGTTGATTAGGTCTTTAACGTATATTAAAAAGAAAAGAGGACCTAGAACAGAATCTTGAGGATCACTACACAAAACTGATTTATAACTAGAATTGAAACCATTAATACTTACAAATTGTTTTCGATCTGAAAGATAAGATCAAAACCTTTCATTTACAATACCGCGAATTCCATAATGCGAATTTCATAATTTAGAAGTCAAAATACTATGGTCAATGGTATCAAAAGCTTTTTGTAAATCAATAAAAACACCACAAACGAAATGACCAGTATCAATAGCTTTCTTGATTTTTTCCGTTATACTAACTAATGCATAGCAAGTAGAATGTTTTGATCGAAAACCTATTTGAAAACATTTAAACAATTAAATGAGTTTAGAAAAGAGTACACTCTAGAATACATAAGTTTCTCAATAACTAAAAAATAAATTGTAAATAAAGAATCCTAAGAAATATATGAAAGAAAACTAAAGAATATTTTGATTTTTTTTTAACTTGCGTTTTTAAAACTTTTTACTCATTTTCTTTCATATATTTTTCTTTTCTTCTTTTGAAACATTTATTTATTCTTCTTTTTAGTAGATTTTATTTTTCGTTTATTTTATAAATGTTTTCTTTTCTCTTGTTTTTTCCTCTTTAAAAAAGTTATTTTCAACCGTTAGAAAAAAGCGCCCACTATTTGCGATGTCATTTGCGAGGCTGATTCCATCAACCGCTGTAAAGTACTATCTGCGCTTTGAATCAAGTTCTTTAACAAATTTAAAAATGACTAATTTACCAAAAACTATAAAATACAAAAAAACATTGTCATCACCATGTTCTCTAAATCTATCATTCACTAATATTCATGGCGTTAGAAGTAAGTTTTCTTCTATTGAGTCTTATCTCTTATGTTGGGCAATCAAAATATGCAAACAATATTGTGAAGTGATTGGTGATTGGTGGTCATTAATCAGAGAAATAAGAAATCAGTTCAGAAAAAATTGTTTGGCAGGTTTTACAAATGTATTTCTAAACTTCAAACATGCCCTGCTAGATCAAGATCATTAGCAAGGATATTTTTATTGTTTGGTTTTATCTTGTCAATATTTAGAAATAATTAAGGAAAAAGATTAAAAAGCTTGTGCATATATATAGACAGAAATATATAGACAAAAATAAATAATAGTAATACATAGTTGGTTTTGTAAAAAATGTCAAGAATATAATTATACTTGTCAAAGTGTATTCTAAAAAATCTTATTGAATGAATTTTTTAATTTTTTTGGTTTCCAAATATATCATTGTGAAAAAAGATTTCATTTAAAATAATATTGCGTTTGGATTAAAACATTATAGATAGCTATTATAATATCCTTATGTTTTTGAAAATATTGGTTATAATAGTTCATAAAATTATAAAATATCTTAATAAAACCTAGATTACCTGGGCTTTATTGGTTTTTTTGGCAGGTTTCATTAGGCTTTATTGGGTTGGGTTTTATTGTGCGGGTTTTTTAATGCCAACCTTAACTAAGATTGTATCTTTTTTTTGTCCTTACCTTTTTTCTCTACAAATTTCTTAATCAACCCTGTTTGAAATACTGTTATTATATTTAGGTTGGTTCTTTTAATGCTGCTTTTCTGTATTGTTTTATTTTACTGTATCTGTCCCTTCTTGCTCTAAAAGCTTTTATTCACCTTGGTTTTTTTCCTTGCACTTCAATGCTTTTAACTTTCTTCATTTTACATGTTTTCCTGGCTCAACAACAATGATACAACCTTCAACTTTTCATGTTTCTGTCAATTGTTTTGTTGCTCTTTAAAGCTATTTAGTCTTGCAGCCTTGTTGAGAATGAATTAGTTTTAAAATTATATTTATATTGTGTGTGTGTGTGTGTGTGTGTGTGTGTGTGTGTCTATATGTAAAGTTTAAACTATGAAAAAACTAATTTTGTATATAATAAAAAAACTAAATGTAAAAAAATTTGAATAGTGAAAAAAATTAAAGGAATTAATTAATTGCATAAAAGAAACAAAAGAAAAAACCATACACAATTTAGGATGTTGAAATGTTTGAATGAGCTCTGTACAATATATAGTAATATTTAACAATCAAAATTTAAAATAAATAAGTTATATATTTATATTGAAATCTTTAAAAATAAAGAAAAAATTTTTTTATTTACATTTTATTTACATTCAGAGTTTTAGTATATTCAAAGGTATTTTATACTTGGTTGAAGAACTACAGCATTATTACCCATCAAGATGTTCTGCATAAAGTTGTATGTACTTATTATTTTTTCAATACGCATTGTTTTAATCAAATCATTAGTTTCAGTAATTCAAAGAAGTCTTATATTTTAGGCTCTCAAGTTTTATCGTTTGCAAATGGCAAAGTATTATTTTAAATTTTGGAAACATAAGTTCAAAAGAAAGATTTTATTAATTTCATTTAAGGTTATTTTTTTAAAATTAAATTGAATTGACGTGAAGATTATTTTTTTAAATTTTTATAAAAAATTAAATTTTAATTTAGAAACAAGCTGATTGCCATTATATATTAAAAATTAAATCAATTTGCTATCAGCAATGGAAGTGCAGGTAAGTATGCCTGTGCATGCCAGTATGTTTTTGCGGTATGTGTCAGTGTGTCTGTTAAATATGTTTATGTTATATGCGTGTGTTTGTGTGTGTTAGTAAGTGCTAGTGGGTGTCTTTTTATTTTATTTTTAATTCTGATTCACTCCCAACAAGGCTGGAAGAAACCACCATTAAGGTAGGAGTTAATAGAAAAAAAGAAGAGAGTTATAGAGCATGGAAACATTTGACTGAAGACTTAAAAATTTGAAAGTTGTATGAGTTAGGAAAACATGAAGTTGTGAAAGAGTTCAAAAAGGTTGAAGTGTGGGGAAAAAAACTAGGCAAATAAAAGTTTCTGAAGAATGCAGAGACAGATACAGTAAAGAATGAGACTGATGAATGGCAAGTCAAGCGAGAATGAGTTTTAGTTGATGGAACTAGAGATGAAAGCTCCTTTGAGCAGCGACCACAAAATCATTTGTAGAAAAGAGAAAAAGATGCAATTTAACGATGATGGGAAAGAGCCTCAGCTTAGCAGATAGACCGGGTCCAACTACGTTTACAATGTGTTTCTTGACTTTTCTAGAAGGGAAAGAGCATCATTATAAAAACCAGCCCAAATATGACAGCAGTATTCCATACTGATACGAATAAGAGATTTGTAGAGATAGAGAATGGAGTAAGGAGAGAGAAAATGGTGACCATGGTAAAGAGAATCAGCCTTAGTACATGCTAATTTTGCAATCGATTGTATATAGGATAGATCAAAAACAGAAGACTTTTTGTTAAGACACGTATAAAATTAAATCATCAACAAAAAGAGCTACTTTAGTAAGGTTGTTGGGAAGATGATTAATGTAGATAAGAAACAAATTAGGACAAATTAAACAAGGGTAGAGCCTCGAGGTACCCCAGAAGTTACTAAAAATGAAGAAGAGTGTTCATAGATGAGTTTTTTCCGGGAATTCCCGGAATTCCGGAAATTCACATCAAGTTTCTGGGAAATTCCGGATGCTTTTTGCTATTGATTTGTAAAAAGTTATATAAAATTTTAAATACGACATGGTTTGCATTTAAGTAATTATGTTTTCTATAAATGAAATTTTCATGAGATCAATTTTTTCAAAAAATTTTTTTCTTTTTAATTCATTCAAATTAACTTTTTCGAATATTAGAAATTCTTTTTCTTAAGAAGTTAATTGATGTAAATTCCGTTTTAAACATTTGCAAAAGATCTTGTCGTTAAAAATTACTATCAAGAAGAAAGAAAAGAAAATGCAAGTTAAGAGTTTATCTGTCATTTCTGAGATAGACAAAAATATTAAAAACAAGTTTCGCTGGAATTGGCTTCAAGAGAAAGACTATAATGATGAGCATTATTCAGCCTATATTACAAAGATAAATAAAGCCGGAGCGGTAAGTTTATTCTCTAACTGAACACTGAAATATATAACTTCATTATAGTTATATATTATTTGATTTGATGTTTTAGGTACGATGTACAATATGTAATAAAGACTTTTATTATGGAAGTGAAGGTAAAAAATCTTTACTCAGCCACTCAAAGTCTAAAATGCATCGTCAAAACTGCGCAATGATTAAGTCCAACGAAGCCATACCGTCGTCATTTTTTACTAATTTAAAAAAAACAGATATGTGTATATTGCCATATGGCACTCCGGATAACGTGCATATTGACAGTACTTGCACAAAGAGAGTAAAGCCTACCATTAAACCTATTGTAAGTTTTAGAGACAGGACATCAAATGCAGAAGCTATGACATTCGCATTTATTTGTGAACACAATCTTCCAATATCTTTAACATCCCATATGATTGAATACCCAAAGGAAATGTCTAAAGATCATTGTGTTTTAAAAAATTTGAAAATGTTCAGAACAACTGCTTCGTATAAGCTTCGAGAAGGATTAGGTAAAGCTTTTCATGCTGAGCTTGTTTTTGATATGAAAATAAAAATGTTCTCCCTTAACATAGATGAGTGCTTCTCGGCAAAAAATGAGAAGGTTCTCAATATACTCGTTGCATATTTTTGCGACAAAACTAATAAAGTTGTATTAAAGCACTACGCGTCATTATCGCTTGTTATGGTAAATGCCGAAAGTCTTTTTAATGCTGTTATTCATTTATTTAACAAAGACGCAATTCCATTAAGTAATCTTGTTTCCAATTTATCAGATTCTACCAATTATATGAGAGGAAAAATCAGTGGGTTTGAAACAAGGTTAAGAAAAGCGGTTCCTCACTTACTTGATATTGATGGTGATATTTGTCAGAATGTGCATAATGTTGTCAAAAAATTTACTTCTTTTTTCAGCAAGGTAGTTGAAAACTTACTGGATGATATCTACATTGATTTTAAATATAACCCAGATCTTCGTACATTTCTGAAAAAAATCTGTCAAATCACAGGTGTCACATACAACACTCCAAAGCAAAGGGTTTGTCATCGATGGTTGTCTGTTTTAGATTGCACTCTTCCTATGCTTGAGATGATGCCTGCTTTCACCTTAATTTATTCTTCTTGGCTATCAAAACAAGACATCTCTCTGTATAAAGATGAAAGTGACAAAATTTTAAAGAGGCTATCAAATGAAAGTAAGAAACTAATAGAAAAAATAAAATGTAAAATGCAGCAGAAAAAACTAACAAAACAAGGTGCAGAAAGAAAAGCTAGAATTGTTAAAAGTTTATTTTTCCGACGTAATGAAACATTACTTTATATTAATTTGTACGTTGAAATTCTTCCTATTTTTAAATCATTCATTTTAACTTTTGAACAAAAAGAACCGTTAGTCCATCGAATTTATGATGAGCAAATTGAACTAGTGAAAACAATTTTAACTTGTTTTATTAAGCCAAAGATGATAAAAAATATAACAGGAGAAAAGTTGAAGTTTTTAAACCTGAAAGGTTTTCGAACTACATATACCTTGGAAGTAATGCTGAAAAATATTTGTCAAGAATACTTATTCGAAATCCTGATTTCAAATCATCGTTTTTAAAGACCTTGCTAAAAGCTTACCTTGAATCGTCAGTTTACTTACTTAATAAATTACCCTTTAACAACCCTTTATTAAAATGCCTCTCTGCGATCGACCCAATGTCTCAAGGTCACGAAATTACAGAGAGAATGCTAAAAAAACTCTCAACTTTCTTTCCCTCTGTAGATATAAATAAAGTAATATTTAATCGAGAAGTTATGCAGCTTCAGATAGATATAGCGCTTCCACCCGTATTTGATGATGGGAAGCCCATACGTCTTGACTATTGGTGAGCTGAAGTTTTTAAGTGTAAAAAATATTTAGAGCTTAGTAAGATTATCAAGGCATGCTTAAGTATTTTTAGTAGTCCTCATGTTGAGCAATCATTCAGCATGATGAACACCATAGTTAACAAAAAGACAAACCGTCTTGATACTTTAACGTACTCTGCTATAGCTTCAGTTAAGTATCAATTATTAGCAAACGAGACCACAGCAGTAGGGTACTTTAAAAGGCGAGATATATTGCATGACCCAGTTAACAAAAATATCTGTGGTCATTTGCAAACTGCAAGCAAATGCTATAATAAAAAAATGAAATTCCATCGGAAAAATAGAAAAGTTGAAGAAAGATTTTTAAATATAAATTCAACGTGGAAAAAAAAAATTGCCTTACATGAACAGTGCAAAAAAGTTAAAGAATCTATTATTGATCATGCAAAAAAGTGCAGAAAAAGAAAAGCTGACGAATGCTTCACAACAGAAAATTATAAGAAAAAAAAGTATTGATTCCTGACATTTATTCCATTGTCTTACATTTTATATTTTAAATATAAAGAAATTATTGCGCTTTGCAGGTTGCTTATGTTAAAACTGAGATATTATATTTCATTTTAGAGAAACATAATTAATGAGTAGTTTTTAGTTTCTTTATTTATCCCTTTACCAACGTTCCAGAATTTACCCACATACCTTCGTCAATCTATTGACCCTAAATTTTTCCGGGATTTTCCGGAATTTTCATGAAAATGACTTTCCGGGATTTTCCGGGATTTTCAAAGAAAAAAATTTCCGGGATTTTCATAAAGTCAAAAACTCATCTATGAGTGTTGGCATTTGAGGATAACTTTAATAAAGTGATTAGAAAGAAACGATTTAATAATTTCAAAAACTTTCCCAGATACACCATATGAAAGAAGCTTATGGAGAAGACCAACATGCCAAACTTTGTTGAAAACCTTATAACAGAAATCTTTCGTCTTCCTGTTGACAAATGTGCTTCTTACATAACTTCGTGGATTCAGGATGGCACGGAATTTTTAATTCCTTTTCAACAGTTACAGGTCAAGCCTCACTCTTCTCCATGGTTTTCCTCACACTGTGCTGCTGCAATTGATGATACTTCCATATTTTTCAGCAAAACAATTCTCCAGAAAACAGACATCTGTTTATTATTGCTAGAAACCATTGTAAAAAGGTTTTGTCTAATGCCAAAGCCCACCATTCTCAGGTCATGAATTCTTGTAATTCATCACAATCATTTCATCACAAGACATGAGAACCTAATTTTTCATCAAAATTAGGTTCTCATGTCTTCCGGAGAATCTTTAGTAGTATCAATAATAAGAGTAAATCTGTAAATCCAAGCTTGTATGGTTCAGACTTTTTCATCTCACCTAATGACAAAGCTGAATTGTTTGCTAAGAACCTTTCATCAATATCATCTTGTTTGGCATGCTGGTCTTCTCCATAAGCTTTCTTCTTATGGTATATCTGGAAACATCTTTAAGATTATTGAATCCTATTGAATCCTTATTGAATTCCAATCATATTATAAAAGTTGTCCTTGATGGACAGCACTCTTCTTTTTATTCTGTAACCTCAGGGGTTCATCAAAGTTCAATCCTTGGCCCTATACTCTTTTTAATTTACATTAACGATCTTCCAGATATTCTCAAATCTAAGGTGCCATTGTTCGCTGATAATACTATTATTTATTCTTGTTATGATAAGAAGGCAACACTCTCTGATTGCTTGGAGGGTGCATTTAAGCTTGAAAAGGATCTCACTTCTGCTACAGCATTAGGCTCACAGTGGCTGGTGAACTTTAGTTTAGATAAAACTCTATTTTTTCAGCCAGTCGTTATTACAATAATTTAGACCTTCCTATATTTATGAGCAGTAATATACTCGATGAGTAGTCTACCCTCCATTTTTTAGGATTAACTCTTACTTTTGATTTTTCTTGGAAACTGTATATCAAATCCGTTGCAAAATTAGCATCTGCTAAAGTTGCATCTCTTTATCGAGCTCGACACTTTTTTGTATGGAATACTGTTGCCATATTTGGGGCGGATCTTTTAATGATACCCTTTCTCTTTTAAACAAGGTGCAAAAATGGATTGTAAACATTGGATTGGACTTGCTCTTGCAGCCAACCTCCAACCATTGTCATATCGTTGTGATGGCGCTTCTCTTTCTCTTTTCTAGAAATATTATGATGGGTACTGGTCTAAAGAGCTAGCGTCTCTTGTACCATCTACTAAAATTCATTCTTGTGTTACTTTTCATTCAATTAAGTCTCATCCTTTTTCTGTGACTGTTCCTAAGTGCTCTAAAAACTCTTATTCCTCAGTTTTTTTCCTTCAGTTTTCCTTTCAGTTCTTTTGAATTCGCTTTCTTTATCTTGCTTTCCTTATTCATATAATTTGCAGTTTTTTAAGTCATCTGTCAATTGTTATCTTACTTTACAAACTTCATCTTTTCTCTTCCAGTAACTTCCAACTCCAATTAGTGGTTGCTTGCAGCCTTGTTGGAAGCGAAGATGTTTAAAAAAGAAAAAGCTCTAGTCTCACCTTCTCTATTAAATGCACGCTAAAATCTTTCAGTCACAGCAAGTCTTTAGCAAGTAAGCCGTAGAGCGAGAGGATCAAAAACCGCAGTGATTGTCTGACAGTAAATTATTTGATTCAAGATATTATGTAGGAAATTAGTTTATCAAAAACTCAAAGACCTTACTAATAACAGAAAGAAGACTGATAATTGGAGGGGTGAATGTTCACCAGAGTTATTTGAAAATTGGAACAACAGATGCCATTTTCCAGCAGGCAAGATAACAAGACTCAGTCAAGCACTTATTAAATAGTTTAGAGAAAATTCAAGAGAATTTTGTAAGACTACACTAGAATGGACCACAAACCGTAGAAGAGTTTCATCAAGATATGACTTCAGCAACAGAAGCTGGAGTAAATTGAATATTTAACAATGGGTTAAGCTGTTTAATTGGAATGGTAGGAAGAGAATGGCCTTAAGATTTGAAAGTCGAATTAGGAGAGAAGTTCTTTGCAAATAGTTCAACTTTATCCTTGGGAGAGGTAATAAGATCAGTCCCATGAATGAGAGGTGGAATGTTAGACCTTGTTTTGTTAACAACGCTGTTGAAGATTTTCCAAATGTCTCTAGAGCCTAACTTCTGAGATAAGATAAGAGGTTTAGTGAACTGAGAATAATGGAGCTTAACATCTGACATCACCTTTTTACATTGATTTCTTGCAATAATAAATAGCTGTTTCTTCTCAAGAAAGTTGTTCTTTTGAAAAAGATGAAAAAAAAGATTACAATTAGGTATAGTTGCTGCACATGAACCATGGAGAAGAATGAGGCTCTAAAAATCATGGAGTAGAATGAGGCTTGACTTGGAACCGATGAGAAGGAATAAAAGCATCCATTCCTGCCTGAATCCAGGAGGTTACGTACGTGGCGCATTTTTCAGCTGAGAAGAAAAAGTCATCAGTCCAAGGGCCATCACAAAGGAAATCACAAAAAGAATCCTAGTCAGCTTTAGGGTAGTAGTGAGTAGTGCGATGATAGGGTGAGTCGGAAAATGTTACAAAGTAATAGGGTGAGTCTGAAAATGAAGCGATGATGGAGTGAGTGCAAAAATGAAGCACGAGAGATAAAAGATTTAAAGAGATCATTGCATGGTCAGAACCACCTAAAGGAAAAAAAGGAGAAACTAAATACAAGCTAGGATCAGACATAAATTAAGGAGTGAAGGTAAATGATTAGGGTTGTCAAGAAAATGAGCCACAAAGTTAACTATCAGAGTAAGAGATTGAGAAATACAGAAGTTATAGGCTTTAGTGCCAGCAGAGTCAGTGGCTTTAGAGCCAAGCCATTCAATGTGATTAGCATTAAAGTCAGCAATAGCAACAATATTGGCGTAGGGGTAGAGAGAGAGCATGGTCAATTTAATCAGAAATTATATCTAAAAGAGTCTTGGAAGAAGAAGAGCAATAATGAACAAAGAGAAAGGTGATACAGAGAAGAGGTGCTAAGCAGAAGCACATAAAGGAATGGTCAAAGGATTCGAACCTGATTTCATGACAAATAGGTGAATTGATGCGTATGTATACCCCTAAGCCAAGCACGTAACTCTTGGAATCTTTGTGAATCAAAAGATATACCCATTAACACTGAGATCAGAAGAAGCAATAGCAGCTTAATATATTGATTTACTTTTGGCATATTTAATTTTAAAGCAAACTTGACTCATTCGTAGATAGAGCATGGCCTTCCAAGCTATGAGCTATGCAAACTTCTCAGTCCTATTAATTAACCTTAAGTTGTCTCATAGGGCTCCTTAGAAGTCGTTGAAACATTACATATTTTTATTTTGTTCTCACTCCAGCTATATTATAACTTTTTGATTTGATTTCTTCTAGAACTTTTGAAATGTCTTCTAACATTTTGCAGCAGGTCATTAGTAAACTGAATTCTTTACCATTTCCACTTGGCATGCAACTGGATAATAGCATAGATGTTTAAGAGTGTAGACAGCTTTTAGTGTTTGTACATTAGGAACATTCAAAAACATAAAGTATGAAAAAAGAGTTTCGGTTTTGCAACTCACTTAATACTTCTGTAAATACTGCTGTATTATACAAAAGTTTGCTGGTTTTTGAAGCTTTTATTTAAATTATAAATAGATATTTATACCTTGATATTTCTGAATTGCAATGTCCATATTAATGAAGGTGTTTTTTTTATTGGCTTTTTTATTTTTTATACATTTGCAATTTAGTTTGGAAGGGGTCTGTCAGATTGCTAAACTTTTAAAAGAGGTCCATGGCTATAAAATATGTTAAGAACCACTGATTTAAAGTATTTCTTACTCTCTATCTACTCGCCTCTCATTCCTTTATCTCTTTAATTGCATGTATGCTTAGCCTGCGCATTAATGAAATTTTAAAGTTTTTGTTTTTTGATCTTATTTCAATTATCATTTGTGTTTTTTTTTAAATCAAGAAACTTAACACAGTATTTTTAACATTTCATGTTTTTGTACAAATCATTTATATAAAATTTATATAGGAAAAGAAATACACATGTAGCATTGTCACAATTTGAAAATTGTATAAAAAGAAAATGTTTGCTGGGTTTAAAAAAAGTAATTTTTTAAATTTTTTAAACATTTCTAATATTTTATTTATTATTAATTTAATATTCAATGTTTATATTTTTTAATATTCAATGATTAAATTTTGATTCTACTTCTTAGTTATTATTATTAGTTCATTAAAATGTATGTATGTATGTATGTATGTATGTATGTATGTATGTATGTATGTATGTATGTATGTATGTATGTATGTATGTATGTATGTATGTATGTATGTATGTATGTATGTATGTATGTATGTATGTATGTATGTATGTATGTATGTATGTATGTATGTATGTATGTATGTATGTATGTATGTATGTATGTATGTATGTATGTATGTATGTATGTATGTATGTATGTATGTATGTATGTATGTATGTATGTATGTATGTATGTATGTATGTATGTATGTATGTATGTATGTATGTATGTATGTATGTATGTATGTATGTATGTATGTATGTATGTATGTATGTATGTATGTATGTATGTATGTATGTATGTATGTATGTATGTATGTATGTATGTATGTATGTATGTATGTATGTATGTATGTATGTATGTATGTATGTATGTATGTATGTATGTATGTATGTATGTATGTATGTATGTATGTATGTATGTATGTATGTATGTATGTATGTATGTTTGTATGTATGTATGTATGTATGTATGTATGTATGTATGTATGTATGTATGTATGTATGTATGTATGTATGTATGTAGGTAGGTAGGTAGGTAGGTAGGTAGGTAGGTAGGTAGGTAGGTAGGTAGGTAGGTAGGTATGTTGGTAGGTAGATAGGTAGGTAGGTATATATATATATGTATGTATTTCGATTGAATATGAAATCGTGAAAAGAAAATTTCTCAAAGAAAAACAAACTTTTTATCATTAAGGAAACCAGCTATGTACATTTCTCATAAATGCTATTACCATGTACATATCTCATAAAATCTATTACTACTTACATATCTCATTTAAAATATATAAATTGCTTTAAATTTTAAATTTTTTGTTATTAATAAAAATAATGACTTTTTCTTTTTTTTTTTGTAAAGGACTTAAACTCCTTACTGAAATAGATGTTTTTCAACACATTGCTTACAAAAGATCACTGCTTCCTCATAATTCTAAAAAGTCTAATTTTAGCAATTTTATCATGCCCTCCACAATTTTATCATGCCACTTAGAACAACTAAACGAGCTCATTCAGTAATCTAATGGAGTTTTCTAGTTGCCCAAAAACCTGGCCACACCTTTTCAAGCAAAAAATTTAATTACTACAAAGGCGACTACAAAGTCGCCTTTGTTGGCGATTTTATATGTCAGCCATGGGCGCCATGGCTGACATATAAAATAAAAAAATTATTTAAACTTAAGGCAACACTGTGGAAACAAAACGTAGCCTCAAAATAAAAAAAAAAGAACATGTAAAGTAATATCACAATGCAAATAGAGATATAAGAAAAGCATCAAAAAAAGCAAAAAAAAACTATTCAATTTATAAAATGACATAAAAAATTCCAAAAAACTCTTTTCATATATAAACAGCAAATTAAAAATATCTTCTTCAATACAACCCCTCAAATCTGACATCAGTGAACTAAGAAACATTTAAAAGGTCATAGCTGATATATTAAATCACCAATTTGAGTCTTATAATCCATTATATGGATATACTCGAATTGGTGATTTAATATATCATGAAATATGAAATATGATACATTTCCATCACATGGAAAAAAAAAAACGATACAAAAACAAATAAGAACATCGACAACATAAACATCATGGCGGACAAAATAGAAGTTTATTACTTCAAATTGATGGAAAAAAATTGCAAGGAGCAGATAATGTTCACCCATTCATTCTAAAAGTACTCAACTAGCAGAAAACCACAGAACTAGCCAAGCCACTATTGATCATATTTAATGTATCATTGCGTTCAGGAGAAATACCAACAGCATGGCTAGACGCAAATTTAATGCTGATATTTAAAAAAGAAAGCCCAGCAGATCCCAGAAACTATAGACTAATCAGCTTGAATTTGGTCCTATGCTTAATTATGGAGAAAATAGTAAGGAATGAATTTATCAACTACTTCACAAAAAGCAACCTTTTTTGTAGCGAACAAGATGGTTTTATCCCAAATAAATCATGAACGACAAACCTTCTGTAAAATATGAACTTAGCCACCAAAACAATGGCAAAACAAATACCACTAGATATCATATTTCTCGACTTTTCCCACTCATTTGATTTAGTACAGCATACTAGCCTTATTGAAAAACTGAGCAAATGTGGAATAACAGGTCAACTGTTTGCATGGATTCGCTCATTTTTAACAAATCAACGACAACTAGTTGTTCTAGGCAACACAATATCAGGATGGGCACCAGTGTTTACCAATATCAGTGATGGGCACTAGAAAAACTCAGTTGCTTTTTCATATCGCTTTGGAGTGCATATGTGGTTGCAAAACCACAATTAACACGAATTGTTTTCACATTGAACCATTAAATCATAGAAATGTGCTTTGTGCTTTTTACATTAAAAAACTTTTTACTTTTTATGTGGTATGCTTGCATTATCTACTTAGTCTATGTTACTTTTTGTTTTTAATTTTATTTTTCAGCCATGGCATGAACTTTCTCCATTGTTTTTTTTTTGTTTTTTTTTCAACATCTTTGCTTCCAACAAGTCTGTAAGCAACCACTATTAGAGTTGGAAGTTACTGGAAAAAAAAAGATGAACTTTATAGAGCAAGATAACGGTTGAAAGACAAGTTAAAAGATTGCAAGTTATATAAATCAGTAAAGCAAGATCAAGAAAGCGAATTCCAAAGAACTGATGTTTGAGGTAAAAAAACTAGATGAATAAGAGTTTTTGGTGCACTAAGGAACAGTCACAGTAAAAGGATGAGAATTAATTGAATGACTAGTAACATGAGAATGAATTTTAGTAGATGGCACAAGAGAGGCTAGCTCTTTAGAGCAGTGTCCTTTATAGTATTTGTAAAAAAGAGAAAGAGAAGCAACATTACGACGATGTGATAATGGTTGGAGGTTGGCTGCAAAGTTTTGACTCCAGTTAAAACTTCTCTTTCTAATTTTACATTGGTTCTTTTAGATTTGTGGATATGTTTATTAGAGTCATTAATTTGTTTTCATTGTAGATTCTAAAACCAATTTTAATTGAAATGTGTGTTTAGTTATAGTATTTAACTGAAATATTTGACATTGGTGTTGAAGAAATTGATGAACGCTGTGCAGTTGATGAAATAGTCAATGCTAATTGTTATGCTAGCTCATGTGCTGGATCTTCTGTTTTTTCAAACACACTGACTGCTTGTGTTCTGGTGAAGTACTTGCTGCTTCCATTTAAAACGTTTAATAAACTTGGAAAATTAGATTTATCAACATTTTTGCATTTTGGTAATTCATAGTATTATTTTTATATGTCTTTCCAGGTTAGTTTAATGTGGCAATATATTCCAATGTCCAGTGGCTGCAAAGTATGACTTGAATGAGCTGGTAGGCATATCAATCAGGCTTTGTTTTCTTTACATATTTCAATAACTTTTAATGACACATAAGTGCTGTGATACAAGAGTGTGTTCTCCTTCAATCGCTTTAACTGCTGGTATGAAAAGCTGTTCAACCATTCAATAAATTGCGATTTTTCTATTCATCTTAAACCTGATTTGCTATGTACCAGTGTATAAGCCAGTTGGACCATTTCTGCACCATGATTAATATAAGTATCTTTTTGATTTATTAGTGACAAAATGAGGTAAGTAGAAGCCTGATGCATTGAGGCAGTTGTTTACAACATAATCATTTTTTCATTGTTTCCTAAAAGTTTAAGAGTGCACTTTGTACCTTTTTGACATAAATTGAAATTTTTTGTTGTTCATCACTAAAACCACATACATGGCAGTCCCAAATCTGTCAAGCTTTCAAGTTATTATTTTTGAAATCATGTTATTGTTTCTTGTAATTTTTAAATTATTTTTCAATTATATAGCATTATGCAGAGCAATGTTATTTGCTCTGCATAATGCTACATCATGTTTTCATCTCTCTTTAAAATCATACCAGCACTGTAATGAAGGTTTGCCATTTTTGAATAAATGCTCTTGTTTTGTGTTTTCTAAATATGCAACTTTACGACAATGGGAATATGAAACCAAGCTTAGCAGATAAAGCAGGTCTAACTATGTTTATAATACATTTTTGGACCTTGTTTAGAAGAGAAAAAGCATCATTAGAAGAACCAGCCCAAATATGACAATAGTATTCTATACAGGGATGAGTAAGAGATTTGTAAAGATAGGTAATGGAATCAAGAGAGAGGAAATGGCGAGCACCATAAAGAGAAGCAACCTTAGCAGATGCTAATATACCAATTTTGTATTTTCATGAAAAATCAGTTGTAAATGATAATCCAAGAAAGCGTAAAAAAGATGACTAAGTGAAAGCGTTGCCATTTTTTAATTCAGAATTAAATGAGTAAATAACCTTCCCGTTTAACTGATAAAGCTGTTCGTTTTTTAAGTAATTAAGGAAGTAAACCCTTATTGGTTACTTCTTTCCACTAATAATTAATTATTATTTAATAACTATAGACCAGCTTATAATTATTTTTTAGTCTATCAAATAGCTTCCTTATTTTATAACTAAACTATAAATAAAATAAAAATAATACCATTAGAATCAGAGTAAATAACTCTATTAAAACATGTTTTAAAAAATTTTTGAACTAGTTTTTTATTTAAAATTTAGGAAGTTTTAGTAAACATGGTTTTTTTCAAATTGATAAATAAGTAAACATGGTTTCAATAATATTTCGAATAAGTAAACATGGTTTTTTTCAAATTGATGCAAAAATTAAAAAGATCCTTTTACCTTCACAAAAATATCATTAAATAAAAATATTTTTTTACATGTTCCGATAGATGTAGTCCTCAAGTAGATGTAGTACTTTATATTAATCTGCCTTTACATCATGAAATTTTTAAAAACTTTTTGTTTAAATAAAAGTTATGTATAAGTGACGAACTTAAGATAACTTAAAAACAAAACTTGTCCTTACCTTATAGGAATATACTGAATTTTAAAATAAAGAACACTTTATGTAAAAACCATTAAGTTTAATTGAGAAAACAAATCAAATTTTATCATTATTTAAAAAACCCCAAAATTAACTAATAGGCTGAAATTTTTTTTTTTAATAAAAATAAAAACATTCTAAATGTTTTAATTTTTATTTTTACACGATTTTACTTGACTGACAAATAGCTAAAACATACAAGGAGCGCTGCTACATTGACTGACAAATAAGTAGAACATGTGAGAAGTGCTGCTACATCGAGTGAAAAATAGGTAGAACATTTGAGGAGTGCTGGTTCATTGTCTGAAAAATAAGTAAAACATGGAAGGAGTGCTGGTTCATCGACTGTATATAGACACACACACACACACACACACACATATATATATATATATATATATATATATATATATATATATATATATATATATATATACATATATATATAAATATTTATAAATATATATATATATATATATATATATATATATATATATATATATATATATATATATATATATATATATATATATATATATATATATATATATATATATATATATATATATATATATATATATATATATATATATATATATATATATTCATCGACTGTATACACACACACACACACACACACACACACACACACACACACACACACACACACATATATATATATATATATATATATATATATACACACATATATATACATATAAAATAATAGTATAAACTTTTTTTTTTTTAATTAAAAGTAATAAAAATTTATAAGTATATTTAAGATTATTTTGTTAAAAAAAAAGAGTTAAATTTTTTTTTGTTATTGTTGTTTTTGTTGTTGTTGTTGTTGTTTTTGTTGTTGTTGTTGTTGTTGTCTTTAATTTACTTTCAATAAATACAGCACAACAAATAACCATATCGTTTTTTAGAGGCACCTGTACCACAAATACAAGACTAATAAAGAAAGACATGCCAAATCTTACTACAATTCAAAAATTAAATATGCATTTTTCAAAAGATGGAAGGTTTTTTGTGAACTTTTTGTTGTTTTTTATGTTTAAAGAACTTTTAATTAATTTAGCCATCAGTTTTGTAACTGCAACTTTTTGTTGTTGGTTTTTACTGTTTATGGTTACAACCATTGTAACTTGCATTTCTTTAAACTTTTAGGACTATATAGTTTGTGAAGTAATAATATTACAAAAAGCAAATGAACGCTTTTTAATAAAAGCCACATTATTATGCAGGTTTTTTTGTTTTTGATTTTCGTGTAAATAATGTCTTGATTTGAGTTTTTTTTTTTTTTAATTTTAAGTTTTTGTCTATGAATAAAACATGTAAAATATAAATACCAAAACATCTTTTTCAACTTCTTGTTTCAGTTAAAACAAACATTTGAAACAGTCGGTTGTCAAAGATTTTTACTAATTTAATTATTTTATGTTTTACTTTAGTTGGGTTATCTTCTCTTGGAAGGAATTTTATAGGATTGCAAAACATAATAAGTTTCAATTGGATATAGCAGACAGACATTATAAAAGTCAGCTTTCAAAAAAGGTATTAGCAATAATTTTGCAAAAATTATTTGCACATTACATGCTATACTGTTTTTTTTTAATTACTGATAATTTTTTTTTAATAGCTGTTCCATTCATTGAGATATTTTTCTTTGAAATGCATTCAGCAAAAATATTTGGAAGAAGAGAACTTTATCAGAGCAAAAATAAAACTGGATCAAGGTTGGTTTAAGTATTTTGACTGAATGAAAATAAAACTGGATCAAGGTTGGTTTAAGTATTTTGACTGAATGAAAATAAAACTGGATCAAGGTTGGTTCAAGTATTTTGACTGAATGAAAATAAAACTGGATCAAGGTTGGTTCAAGTATTTTGACTGAATGAAAATAAAACTGGATCAAGGTTGGTTTAAGTATTTTGACTGAATGAAAATAAAACTGGATCAAGGTTGGTTTAAGTATTTTGACTGAATGAAAATAAAACTGGATCAAGGTTGGTTTAAGTATTTTGACTGAATGAAAATAAAACTGGATCAAGGTTGGTTTAAGTATTTTGACTGAATGAAAATAAAACTGGATCAAGGTTGGTTTAAGTATTTTGACTGAATGAAAATAAAACTGGATCAAGGTTGGTTTAAGTATTTTGACTGAATGAAAATAAAACTGGATCAAGGTTGGTTTAAGTATTTTGACTGAATGAAAATAAAACTGGATCAAGGTTGGTTTAAGTATTTTGACTGAATGAAAATAAAACTGGATCAAGGTTGGTTCAAGTATTTTGACTGAATGAAAATACTGAATAATAAAACTAAAATCAATTTTACTTTTATAAAATAAAAATAAAATATAATTAATTTTGATATAATCTTTTATATTCTTGAACATCATTTATTTTTTACAAATTTCACCACCTTTTTTGAATGATAGAAATCTTACTGAAGTCTTTCAATTGTCTGTTCTATAGTTTAGCTGTTCAGTTTAGTTCTTCTGTTTTTCAGTTTAGTTTTTTATTTGTTCAATTTATTTCTTTATTTCAGTTTACTTCTTTATTTGTTCAATTCTTTAATTTTTCTGTTGTTCAGTTTAGTTCTTCTGTTTTTCAGTTTAGTTCTTTATTTGTTCAATTTCTTTCTTTAATTTTTCTATTGTTCAGTTCAGTTCTTCTGTTGTTCAGTTTAGCACTTCAGTTCTCCTGTTGTTCAGTATAATATTTCAGCTCTTTTGTTGCTCAAATTAGTTCTTCAGTTTTAGGTTTTTTTGGATTGAGGTTGTAAAATATATAATTTTACTTTTTTTATTTTAACACATTAATAGTCCTAATAAAATATATAATTTTACTTTTTTTATTTTAACACATTAATAGTCCTTTTATAAAGTTCTATAATTTTATATACAAATACATTTATATGATACACTTATATATAGTATATAAATTTATATAAAAACCTAAAACACTTATATAAAATATATAAATTAATAAACTAAGAGTCCATGGCTGCCAGACCTACATTATTTTATAAAAACTGATATGCTTTTCAGTGCATGCTTCCAACACAAGTAGAAATGATGGTCAACTATTTACATTAGATCATGGTAGTTTTAGCTGGTAATGGTACCAGAGGTGTTTAAATACAAGCTAACATTTATTAAATAATAAAGCGTAATTTTTATAATTTTCTTTTTGGAATAGTACTAGAAATCAAGCCATTTGATGCCAGACACTTATCATTGTGGTAACTTCTTGCCATACATCCTTAAACATTTTGTAAAACTACTTACGTTATAGTATAAAAGTTAAAGTTTACACAAGTTACTAGGATAACTCTTAGAAGATGTTTATATATATATATATATATATATATATATATATATATATATATATATATATATATATATATATATATATATATATATATATATATATATATATATATATATATATATATATATATATATATATATATATATATATATATATATATATATATATATATATATATATATATATATATATATATATGTATGTATCTATATCTATATGCATCTATATCTATATGTATCTATATCTGCATCTATTAAGCTGGCACAGATGTATTTACATGGTTTCCAGTTTAGGATCTTCTTGACTCATATTTTCTTTTTGAATGCATGGATGTCTCTGTTTTTATGACTAGGCAACTCATTCTATTATCTGCTAATGAGGGTACAGCTCTAAAACTCAGTTTTATGGTTCTGAGGCCGGCTGGTAGTCAGGTTTTTCAAACTCTGTGATAGCTCTCAAAAAGGCTAATTTCATCAACAGCTGTAAAATATCAGAGTACTAACAGTGCCATATTGAGCATGGGTGGTGTGCCAGTTCATACTTTTGGTGTGCATTGTCAAGGCCAAATTTGGTGCCCTTTTTTTTACGGCTTAAGGTTTATTAGTAGTAATGAGGCAATTGCTTGGGCAAATAGTGTACTGAGTACTATCTATGTTTTAAGTCAAGTTCTTTAACAAATTTAAAAATGACTAAAGTACTAAAAGCTATAAAACACAAAAAGCCATTGTCATCACTAAGTTCTCTAAATTCACTAATATTTGTGGTCTTCAGAGTAATTTTTCTTCTGAGTCTTATCTCTTGCAAAGTTTATCAGACCTACTTGATCTTTGTGAGACTAATTTGAGTTTGGCTGTTGCAAAGACTCCAATAGTCACATGCTTAGCCTGAGGATTTACATAGTAAAAATTCACCCATTTGTAGGGAGACTAAGTCTGAATCTACAGACTACTCTTTTAAGTGCTTTCGTATAGCACAACTTCATTCTATTGCCTTTTTCTTTGTTTTATATTGCTCTTCTTCATCTCAAAACTGCACTCTTTTCGATTTCTGATCAAATTGACCCAGCCCTCTCTCTTTATCTGTCAGCCAATATTGTTCTTGTCGGTGACATTAATGTTTATCACACTGAATGGTTTGGCTCTAGTGTCAGTAATTCTGCAAGCATTAAGGCCCGCAACTTTTGCCTTTCTCAATTTCTAACCCAAATAGTCAACTTTACAACTCGTTTCCTAGACATCCCGAATTATTTACGTTAAACTTATGTCTTGCTTCTGATCCTAGTCAGTGGTCAGTTTCTCCTCATTCACCCTTAGGTGCTTCTGATCCCGGTTTGATATCTTTAAAACTTTTATCTCATTCTTCTTCATCATCAGAATTCCCATATCATCGTACCTCTTGCAATCTTGAAGTTAATCGGGAATCTTTCTGTGGTATTCTTCCTGATGGCTCTTGGGTAGAAATCTTTCGTCTTCCTGCTGATAAATGTGCTTCTTACATAACTTCTTGGATTCAAGCTGGCATGGAATCTTTTATTCCCTTTTGATGAGAGCTTCACTCTTCTACTTGGTTTAACTCATATTGTGCTGCTGTAATTACTTCCATATCTATCAGCAAAACAATTCTTCAGAAAATAGACGTCTGTTTACTATTGCTAGAAACCCATGTAAAAAGGTTATGTTTAATGCCAAAACCCGCTATTCTTGCTTATCAAAAGTGTCAGCTGTCATTTCACTTGGTTTACAAGTTACATGCGCTTAACTGTTTGTTGCGTACAGAAGTAAATATTTTACTTTTTCATTTAAAAAGAAAAATACATGAAATGAAATTTGACATTAAATCCCTAAAAATGTTATTTTGCACGGATTGAAAGAGGTTTCTAAAGGAGGGAAAATAAAAACTACTGCGATTAAATATGATATATTAAGTCTAATCTTAAAGATACATAAGGGTGGTATTATGAAAGATATTTCTTCTATATTTATATCATCCCAAATATTCTCAAAAGAAAAAGGAAAAAAATTCAGAATATCTTGTAACATCGTTTAAACTAAACCATAGAATGTCAAAACTGAATGCATGCAAATTGGTTTACAAATACGCCACTGCCATTGTTAAAAAATACCTTTTTTATCAATGGCATTTATTAAAAGACAACCTCAGCTTTAGATGAGGACACCAGAAGCTACCAGTCTCTTTTTAGGCCACAAGTTTTAATAAGAAAAATATCAGAGATTTACTTGAGAATCTTAAAAGTGTTTATGAATAACATCTTTGGCCCTGAGTCTATTTTAGGGGTGTAACAGGTTGGAAATTTTGAATTCCGACCGGAACCAGATTTGCTATAATTGTTAAAAAAATTGTTGAAACGAGATTTATATATATGTAGTTTTTTACCTTCAATATTGAAAAAAAAAGCCTGCACCTCAGCATTGTGGCTACATAATATATATTTATAACCTGTTATATATATATATATATGCATATATATATATATATATATATATATATATATATATATATATATATATATATATATATATATATATATATATATATATATATATATATGCATATATATATATAATATATATATATATATACATATATATATATATATATATATATATATATATATATATATATATATATATATATATATATATATATAAATATATATATATATATATTTATTAAAGGTGATATATATGATCCAGGGTTGGACCACCGGGATGCCGTGGGAAGCCCTGGTGGGCCGCTGATATTTTATTTACAATGGGCCACTAATATAAATCGCAGTTGCTACTACTTGAAACTATGGAGATAGGCCAGCCCCAGGAAATTGGATGGTATGAAACGAAAGAAAGGAAAAACTAGAATATTGGCGGACACACACGAGAAAAGACTTAAAGAAATGAAAGAAAAAAAAAGACATAGAAAAAATAAGATCAAAAAGAGCTTAACAAAAATTCAAAATGCTCAAAAAACAAAAAACATAGGACAGTAAATAATTCCAAAGTTTGCTGATGAATTTACTTCCAAACCAGAGAAAAGCAAAAAGATTAACAGTTAAAAAATTAACAGTTAAAATTAAATTAAGATTAACAGTTAAAATTAAAAATTGTTTCCGTTTCTGACAAAGCCCTTGTTAAAATCGATTCATCGTAAAAAGATTTTGATGTAGACGATGTGATTGTTCTGAAATGAAATTTCCAGATCAATAACTTTGTGTTGGTTAAATTTGACACCAAAAAACTGTCTATCATTATGTTGGAATAATTGAAGAGGTTAATTACTCCATGGTAGCTGTAAAATTCATGAGAGGGAGTAAAATAAGAACTATGTTTATGTTCCCTGACATTAAGGACGTAGCCCCTGGAGGATATAAAGACAAAATTGCCTATACCAACAACATGGGTGAGACATGGCGCTTGAAATAAAAATTTGAAAAGCCTTTCTGGGTCATACAAAATATAAGATAAGTCTTATTAAGTCCAACGTCGTGCAGTATTAATTCCAAGACACATTGTTTTATTTTTTACAAACTCTATGATAAGAAAAAATGTTTGTATTACAATTTTTTATAACAATGCTATATAATACTTAAGCATAGTAAAACAATATTGTGTATATTAAATGCAGTGCCCAAACCCCTACAGGGCCCAGTTTAAGGATGTCTGGTAAGGGGTTGTCATGGTAAGTGTCTGGCAATAGATGGCATGATTTCTAACACTAATCTGAAGAAAATTATAAGAAAATTGCTCTTTATTATTTAATAAAATTTAACCCGTATTTCAAACACCTTTAATACCTGTTGCAAGTCAAAGCCACCATGATCTAGGGTACATAATTGACCATCATTACTACTTGTGTTGGCATTTACTGAGAAATTTTCAGTTTTTATTAAATATTGTAAGTCTTGCAGCCATATGCTTTTAAACTATTGGAAGTTTTAAAGGAATTTTATCGCATCCATGAAAGATATGGTAAAAAAGTATATTTTCTTAGAATATAATAAATTATTTCTTTTTAAGAAGTGAATTGTAAAAATTTAAATTATTTCTTTTTAAGAGATGAATTGTAAAAATTTAAATTAGTTTTGGATTTCATTTTTGATCAGGAACTTTAAAAAATTTATTTCAAAAATGGAGGAGTTCATTGATTGAGTCAAAATCTGGTCAGACATATACATCAATAACACATTATAAATGGAATCTTCAACACAAAGTTTTTCGAAATTTAAAAATGTTCAAGCTGTTTTCTCAAAAAACTAAGGTTAAAATACTTTTTTTTGCTAAAATTAGTATTTCAAGTATAGTAACTTATAATACTCAACTGCATATGTTTTTTTAGTTGATGAAAGAGATGAGCTCAAGGTTTTTTATGTTTTGTATTTGTAAAAAGTTTTACAACATATGGTTACTCAAGGTACTTAAATTGATATTTTCTTGGAACTTTTCAACCCATTTTCAATCCATTTTTAAAGATTTTTTTATGTATTTAAAAATTCATTAAAGTTATTTATTTTTTAAGTTTAATTTGTACATAGCATCTTGAATATCTTGTGAACAATAAAATCAAATCAACATCATGTTGTCAGACTGTGGTGTTGTGGTGGAGTATTCGTTTGCAACAGAAGGTTTTATTTTATTTTTTATTAATATGATAAAATCAAATAATAAAATATTCAAAAATATTTTGGTTAACTTTGATCAATCTATTTATTATTAATTTGATCAATTAATTAATTATTAATAAATAGTTTTATTGGAAATATTTTCGAAAGCAACCAATAAGAATTTGTGTAACTAAATATCAAGTGGCCTGCACAATTAGTTTAAAATACATTTAATAAATAGTAAAGGAAAAATGTTTTATGGTGATATGTCATCATGTTGATATGTTTCTATTAAATAAACAACTATAATTAGTTATAAATAAAACTTATTTGAATGTATGGTATATAATAAATGTAATTAGTATAGTATATAATAAATATAATTATAAATAAAAAGATTAAAAATAAAATTACAACTTAATTTTAAAAGTATTGGACTAAATAAATTTTTTATACTCAAATATTTTTGTATTTTTTTTTATATTAGTGTTTCAATATTTTTACAAAGTTCCTTCTTGTCTAGAATGATTCATAGCATATCTGTAATCACATTTTCAATTCTAATATCACTAACAAAATGTTTGTTTAATAAATTTTTTTTTTTTAATGCAGTTATGATAATAAATGAATGGCATAATTATTTTAAAAATAAGCATAATGTTGAATATTATCATAATGGTTGTAAATATCTCACATACTATATGAATAAACATGCATATTTTATATCTTTTAAATTTTATCTAAAAAGTTTTTTAACACACAATATATTAACGCAATTACTCAATACTACAATGCTATACCACATTTTACTATGATTTTACAGGTATTTATCAATTGGAAAAAATGGGTATTCTTTGTTCGCAAAAACACATTTAATGATGAAATAAATACTAAACAAATTTATTTACAGTTTACTCAGGATCGTCTCATGAAAAAGTTTGTTGATCAAAACATTGTTTTGTTTAATTTAGTTTGATTAATGTTTTGTTGATATTTTTATTGTTTTAAACAGAAGTTTTTAAATACTTCACATAGGAATACACTAAAAGCTTGGTCTTTTGAAAATAGTGATGTTGATCAAACAAAAAGAGAGTTTGTTAAATTAGGTATACTTATATACTTTGGCATATATATATATATATATATATATATATATATATATATATATATATATATATATATATATATATATATATATATATATATATATATATATATAAACTAGTAAAAATACTTATCTAATTTTTTTGTTTGATAACTTGTTTCTCCATCAGTTTCAAAGGACAGATGTGCCGTCAAAAAAAACAAGACAAATAAAAGTTTTTAGAGCATAAAGAAAAAGATACAGTAAAAGGATGCAACTTTGTATGACAGGTCAAGCAAGAATGAGTTTCAGTTGATGGAACTAGAGATGATAGTTCTTTTGAGCAGTGACCATGATAGTATTATAGAAAAGTGAAAGTTATGCAAGCTGTTATAGGAAACAAGATCAGATTCATGATCATTTATCTGTTCTAAGTATTTGAAAAGAGAATATATATATATATGTATGTTTATATAAATTTGTCAAGGCAGATGTGTTGTGTTAAGTTATCAGCAAATAAAGCCACTTTAGGTGTAAGATTGTCAGAAAAATTGTTAATGTAGATAAGAAACAATGCAGAACGAAGCATAGATCCTTAAGGTACCCCTGAAGTTTCTGGAAATAAGGAAGAGTGTCGGCCTTCAATGACGTTACTTGACCACATTTCTGTGGTCAGAAAGAAATGATTTTGTAATCTCAAACTTTTCCCAGATTCACCATATGAAACAAGTTTCTGAAGAGGACCAGCTTTATCGAAAACTTTAGAAATGTCTAGAGCAATAGCCCTTGCCTTGTCATCTCTATCTAATGCACAATAAAATCTTTCAATCAGAGCAGATAACAAGTCAGCTGTTAAATGAGAAGATCGAAAACCATAATGATTGTCAGAAAATAAGTTATTAGATTCAAGATGGGATGTTTGAAACTTGTTGTATAAGAACTCAAAGACCTTACTCCCCAATAGTGAAAAGACTGATCAGACAATAGTTATAGGGGTCATGTTCTTAAGAGTTTTTAATAATTAGGACCAAAAATGCAATTTTTTCTTGCCAGTAGACAGGAAAACAAGATTCAGTGAAGTACTTATTAAATAGTTTAATAGTAAAGAATTTAATAGAGTTTAAAAATTTTGGCAGGAGTGTTATTGGGACCTCAAGTTTTAGAAGAATTTAGTTGAAAGATGACGTTAGAAATGGAAGCCGAATGATGTGGATGTCTAACAATGGGTTAACATGTTTAATTGGAAAAGAAGGAAGAAAGTGTCCAGTTAGAGGGAAAGTTATTTGCAAGTAGTTCTACTTTATCCTTGGGAGAGGTAACAAAATTAGATCCATGGATTAGAGCTGGAATATTTTATTTATATTATTGGACTTTTTTTAATGATATTGTCGAAGATCCAAAAATCTCTAGAGCCTAACTTTTGAGATAAGATACAATATTTGAGATAAGATACAATATTTGAGATAAGATACAATATTTGAGATAAGATACAAAATTTGAGATAAGATGCAATATTTGAGATAAGATACAATATTTGAGATAAGATACAATATTTGAGATAAGATACAAGATTTGAGATAAGATACAAGATTTGAGATAAGATACAATATTTGAGATAAGATACAATATTTGAGATAAGATACAATATTTGAGATAAGATACAATATTTGATTTGAGACATTATTCCCAGTTTACTAAAGAGATTTAGTAAACTGGGAATAATGGATCATCAGACAGCACCTTTCTACATTGATTTCTTGCAACAATGAAAAGGCATTTGTTCATTTGACATTTGAGCATAAGATATATAGTAGTAATCACTAGTTGGCAACTGAACAGTAGAGATTCAAACAGAACACAAACATACATATAGTAACTTTTGGATGAGCAAACACTACGCTAAAGGTCCTTACAGAACAAAAACATAAATTAAGTAACTTATGGATGAATGAACACCGGGGAAATTGGGAGTTAATGAACACCTCGCTAGAGGTTCAGACAGAGCGCAAACATACAAATAGCAACTTACAGGTGAGTGAACACTGCACTAGAGGTACAGAAAGAACACAAGCATACATATTTAGTAAATTAGGGGTGAACCAAAACAATTCCAACTTTATAACAGACAAAAATATACACCACTACTGACATGATTTTATTGATGGGTATTGATGACAAATAAAAGAAGCAAAAACAAAAACAGCAAAAAGAACGTTTTATTTAATTTCTAAATAAAATATTTTAGATAAACAGGGTAAATCGAAAGTTTTATGTAAACTCTAAATAAAGGAATTTTATGTAAACTTTAAATAATAAAGTAACGAAAAACAAATGTTTTTTAAATCTTTTATATAAAATGATTAAAAAACAATGATAAAACAGGTTGAAAAATGCTTGATGATACTAACTCCAAGCGTATAGCGCATATGCGTATAAATATTCGGTCATAAATCACAAGTATAAAAATGTAATCATAAGTGTTGTACCATTTAATTATAAATATACCAATATCTTCTAATATTTTGAAATTTATTTTCTTGTTTTGTTTATGAATTTTGTTTTCTATTTAGAAAACTATAGACCTATCGATTTTGTAACATCATCTATGGAAAACTATAGACCTATCGGTTTTATAACACCACCTTCAGAATTGAGGTATTATAGTTTTTTATAGGTATTATAAAATAATTTTACAATAGTTGTATATATATATGTATATATATATATATATATATATATATATATATATATATATATATATATATATATATATATACATACATACATACATATATATATATATATATATATATATATATATATATATATATATATATATATATATATATATATATATATATATATATATATATATATATATATATTTGGGATAACGCGCTGTTTCAAGATGGCGGGCGCAATTTAGAAAAAATTCTAAACAAATATAAATCTAGTGCCAAAAAGCCATCTAGGACCTAAAGGATTTTAGAACAAAAAAAAAAAAAAAAAAGACAAAACTTTGATAACTATAAAGGCTTTTTAACTTATATGCTTTAATTTAATGGGGTTCAAATCTTAATTTTTTTTTGTGGTAGGGGTGGATGCAGCATTTTTTGTTGTTTAAGCTAACTTTCAAACATGGAGCAAATTCCAAACATATGTTTATACTTATGTCAAATATGGATTCTTGACAAAAAAATGTGATTATTGGAGCCTAAGAACCAAACAGCAATGAAATTGTGGTTAAATGTCCCCAACATGAGAGCAAAAAGTTGATAAAATATTATTTTACTGTTTTCAACTTAATTGATATTCATTGATAAATTTTATATTTCATAGACTTATAATATATCTTAGCAGTGGTGGATTAAGACTTCTTTGGGCCGGGGGCTATTTTTGTTTTTGGAGGCCTTTTTATGGGCCAAAGCCTAAAAAAGACTAAAAAAAGTGCCTCTAAAATTTTTTAGGGACCTTAAATTTGCGGGGCATGGGGCTATAGCCCCTCCTTGATCCGCCACTGTATCTTAGTGTTCAAAAATTATTACTATACAAAGTTTGCACCCACTTATTTTATAATTTTTTTAATTGAATATATAAAAGTTGCACCAACACTAATTTTTTAATATTTTGGGGCCCTAATAACAGGTTTTTTTTTTTTTTTTTGGAAAGGGGGGTCTTGGACACACTAAGCAAGACATTGGTGTATTTATTCTGTTTTGTGGTTTAATTATTTGATATGCATACCCAATATATTATCTTTATAAGTATTATGTATCTTTTCAAATAGCTTAACTTTAATCACTGTGTGCCTGGATAAAACTAAACCTCTACGAAAACACCCCAAAAAACTTTTTATGTAATTCTTTTACATATATGTATTAATTATAAAAATTACAAAAATAAAAAAAATTTGTTGAGAAAATTTTGAAATATGGCCCTTTAAAACCCCCAAAAATAATAAAAGCCATAAAAACAGCATAAAAACTATTTTCCTTGTCTGGAGTCTTGAAATTTTATTTTTATTTTCCATTTTATTATATATTTTCAGAAATTCGCTTCCTTTAATTTATTGTTATAGGCCTGTGTTTCAATAACAGAGCATTTTAAGCCTTAAATGGTAAAAAATGAGCTATTATTTAATAACTTGATTTTAATTATATATATATTTTTTCAATTAAGACAAAATTAATTAAACAGTTAATTAAATATATAAAATATTATTAGGTTAGTAAATATAACTAAAAAACCAAACAAAATTTATGAGCTTTAATGCTTTCAAAATCACATGATGAAAACCGTGCACTAGTTTGTGCGATTTGCTTTTGCACAAGGGAAAAAAAAGCACACAGACAAGTTATTATTGCACAAGAGGTTGAACTGAAAGCTCATTTGGTGTCAAACTATTCACTGCAAGATCCAAGGTTTCCATCTGGGCTTTGTATTGACTGCAGATTGGACTTGAACAAGATAAAAAATGGAGATTCTACAGTCAATCAATAGCAGAGAACTATGATCCAGAGCTGAAAACAAGGTATTTATAAGCTGAAAATAAAGTATTTATAAAACTCTGTCTGTCTAAGTTAACAAGTGTTTATAAATTTAACATTAATCTCACTCTCTATTTTCTATAGACAATTATTTAGTTTTTCTAAATAAATAAACTACTAGTTTACTAGTAGTTTATTTTTTTAGAAATGTTAAATGTATTTAACATTTATCTGTTTTTATCAGTTTTATGGATAGATGTAAAGGCAGAATTTGTAAAATTGCTAGCTTGAATGGTCTTCAGTGGAAATTATTTGTCAACAAACAGAAGAATAAATCTAATAATTCAAGATTGTTTCCCACAAGGATCTGCTCACACTGCTTTGCCAGTATCTACAGGGGATCAAACCACTTGAAAGATAAGTGTAAGCTAAGATTAGAAAAGTTAGTTAACATTAACAACCTAATTAATCCCAAACTGGCTGAACAGATCAGTTATAAAACTATAAAAACAAAGAAAGAATCAGGCAATTCAGTCATCTCCATTACGTCCCCTAATGGTGGAAAACCTTTGATACTTTTGCCGAAAGAAAACAACAAAACAATATTTGAGGGATTACTGACTATAGAGAATGTCTCTACAATACAACAGGAAGCTAGGCTGACTGATCGTCAAGTTATTCAGTTCTGAAAAACTTGAAACTTAAATGGGGATGGAAATGTATTGTTCCTCATATAAAAGAGGCTATGAGGGATCAAAAAGGTATCTTTGGAAAGTTATTTTCTCAGGAATAAACTAAATTTCAAGACTCTAATGGGAAAGAAATAATTGACCCTTTATCTTCTGTTCCAATATCTTGGAGTTTGTGAGAAAACTAGCATATCTTAGGTAACCATAACAATTGTTGTCATTATTTGTTTTTTGAGATTTCATATTCATTATTTTAAACTATTTGATTAATATTTATATTATATATTAGGTTTTAGAGAACAACCTTTCTTAGAGATGGCTTCAAAGTTTTGTCTAGATTTTGGAAAAGGACATCTGAAGCTAACTCTTACACTTTATGATCCAGATGATTTAACATTCATTAGAACTTCTAGCAGAGTAACCAGGAAAAGGGGCATTGGTTCAGGTAAAAATAACTTTAATTCTCACATACTACTTCTTTTAACTTATTTGTTTATTTTTATTAATTGATCAATAAAAATTAATTTAGGAAATCATTACAAAGATACTGGAAGGAGGAAGATTCAGATAATAACATCAGCTCCAAAAATTCCCGAGACTTATCATAACTGCAAGATATTTATAGAGAAGGCTCAAATCAATCTTCTATTGTTTAACTTTACTGGTGACCTAAAACTCATAAATATTGTGTCTGGAATAATGTCATGTGCATCAAAATATCTATGCTTATACTGTGAATCTCCAAATAGCGAAGGAAATTAAGCCTGGCAGACAGATGCCACACTCAGAACATTTGGGAATATTAAAAACCACAAAGAGGATTGGATAACCTCCGGAGGTAAAAAGTTCAAAGCAAAATAGTATACTAACTGTGTGGCAACTCCTTTGTTCTTTCATGAAAATGATCCTGATGACAGCTTAGTGATCCTTAAAAGTCCACCACCAGCCCTTCATCTTAAGTTGTCTCTAAATCATGTCCTTAAGGAACTACAAAACAATTGGCCAGGACTTCAGATTTGGTTAGCAGGACATTCTATTCTCTTCGAACCATACACTTGAAGGTAATGAGTGTTCTAAGGTTCTAAGACTCCTTCATAGTTTAACGAAAGTACTTCCTATGGAGCTGTCTGATTTTTTGATTTACATGGATAACTTTTCAAAGGTTATTGACTCTACATCTGTAGTGTGTCTGTAGATCCTGATCATAGGAATGTTTTTAAAAACCAAAGGATGTCTTTTAAGTCTTTACAGGAAGAGTTTGGAGTGTCTGAAACCCCTAAGCTTCATGTAATACTCACACATATTGAGCAGTTGATCGACATCACAGGAAGGGGACTTGGTCAGTTTAATTAAATAAATTAACAGATTTATTCAACTTATATACATAAATACTCATCCACTAATGGTGTATTAAAATTTTTATAAGAGGGATTTAAAGTCAACACCCTACTTTTGTGTTACTTTTGCTATATTTGTGTTTTTCTATAAATGAATTTTCTGTTTAAATAAGAATTATATAGAGCCTCTTGTTGCAATCTAAATTGTCAGCAGTACAAGCATGAAAATTTTTTTTGTTCTATTAAAATTTTATTCAAATTCTTCTTATTTTTGATTTCATTTTTTCTTTAATTACAAGTGCTTTGTTAGTGTTAAATACAACAAATTTTTTTTTGTAAAATGTAGCTTAATTGCTGTGTTGTATTTGTTCCAGTTGCCTAATATTATTCTTCAAGTCCATTCATAATTCCTAAAACAGCCAATGACCCTTTGCGGTTATTGGCTGTTTTAGGTATGAGATGATTGATTTATTAATATACAGGGTTAAAAAAAAATATATATTGAAATGAAAAATAAAGTAAGTATTTATCATGTTAATTGTTTCATCTAATAATCGTTTATTACCTCCCCTATCCTGAACGATTAACTAACCTCCAGTGTGTTGTCTCACCTCAAACGCTAATTGTCAAGTTGACAGAAATAAAAAATAACATAAGTATAATTTTAGATATTAGTCTTTAATATGTGTCTGTAAAAGCAAAGATACTAGTGAGGTCTTGCTGAAGTTGTACTACGCCATTTTTATTTTGGATTATATCCCGGCCGCATATTTTAAAACCCTAAATAGGCTCAGAATAGGCAGAAGTATGAGCAATCTGATTCGCTGATTTTAAAAGAGAGGCTAGTGCGCTTTTGTTGAAAATATAATTAAAATCAAAACAACTGAATAAAGATAAAAGTATTCAACTAAGTTTATCAATACTAGTCTTGTATTCTTAATTCTATTTAAGTTCTCTTCAGCGCATTTAAAAGATATCAAATCTATTTATAGAATTAGAGAATTTTCACTTGTAAAAATCTTAAAATTTCTTTAAAGTTTATCATGTGATGGGGATTTTATCTGTTGTTAATTTAAAGAAATGGAAAAAAAAGTATGTGTTACAGCAAATTTAAAAAGATCTATAAATGTGTTTCTCGTAAAATATAACGTCCTTGGCTTTGAAGCATACTCGTACACAAAGTTTATATGCAGTTGATATGCTGTTGTACTACTGGTGGAGTACTTTTGCATACAAAGATAATATGCCGTTTTACCAAAATACTGCTAAAGAACTTTATAAATTGATTTATATGTTAATTATAAAGAGTTGAACATAAAAGCGTTTTTTAAAGAAGTAAAAAAAGGAATGATTGCAAAACTAGCTTAAATGTTCCATGTTAATATATGAACTCTGAGGAGATTCTGTTTCAACTATAGGTTTGAGGAGACTAATATGTTTTTTTTTATTACATACCTCTAATAAAACTTTGTCCTTAAACCATTAAACACTTTTGGAAAGTTTGGAAAAACTTTGGCAGGTTACATTAACTTATGTAGAAAAATAAAAATTGGATATTAATACTCTATTTGAAAATTTTAATAATAAAAAGTAAAATTTATATGTTTGTCTACTGAACTGTAACTTTTTATACAGTTACATATAAACACTGACATTACAAGCAAGAAAAACTATTGAAGTCAAATAAGTTAACCAAATAAAAGTGGATTATAAATCCACTTTTATTTGGTTAACTTATTTATAAGATCATAAAAATGCAAATGATTGAGGCATTTGTTTTTTGTTTTTTTGTAATAATCGGAAAAAAAAAAGATTTAAAAAAATCATACAAAGTGGTAAAAATTAAACGTTTTAATGGAAAAAGAGTAATAAATAATAGACATTTTTTTTGTATGAATAAACTGTTGAAGTATTCAACGTAATCTTGTATGAGTGCAATTTTTCTTTTTTCTACCTCTTTACACTTGGTTCTCCATAAGATGTGTTACGTTAAGAGTTACTCCATCAGGTAACAAATGTAAAAAGATTTCTAAATGTGTTTCTCGTCAAATGTAATATTCCTGTTCTGTTAGACATACTTAATACAGATACACTTTTTAACTTAAATTTTGAGAGATTAAGAGTACACCAAAATTTCTCATTACTTAACTTTAATAAAGCATCATCCTTTAAACACTTTGTGAAAATTTAAAAAATTTGGCAATCAATCGGATATTAATGTTTTATTTGAAAACTTAACAAATGAAGTGGTTTTTATTTTTTTACTGAACAGTTCTTTTGTACAGTTACATATAAGCTTTGATATTGCGAGCAAAAATTATAAAATATTTTTATATCATTAAGAGGTATTAAAAAAAAGCACACTTGATTTTATTGGTTATACCAAAAATTACATAATGAAATTACTCATAAAATTTAAAAATAAAGAATACATTTTTTTTCTTTGTTCTGGATTTTTTTTCCCTTAAGGAAAATTTAATGTAAAATAAATTGATACCATAATTAAACAAAAAATTTATAAAATTTGTTGCTTTATCTAATATTATTTACCATCAGTTGGGTAAACATTTTTTATATTATTATCATATTTGCGCTTATTCAAATTCACTTTATTTAATAGGCTTTTTGACATTTGTTTTGCTTTTAAAGGTCAGTTTCCACTCGTCCGTTTTTCCAAGGGAACGGGAAAAGGATGGGATAAAAACTAGATTTCGGACAGATCGGATGGGATATATCCATTTCCACTTGTATTCGTAAAATTTTAAAAAATGATAGCAAATTAATAAAAATGGCGGTTTTATCGATCCTCAGCAAAAAAACTTTATATATGTTATTACTATATTATTTAAAAATCAAAAAAAGACAAAAGTATAAAAAGCGGATGTGGGTCAGAAAATTATTTAGAGAGAAAATCAAAAGGAGCATTCAGTTTATTTATAAAAGATATGCAACTTTTTGATCACGAAAATTTTTTTAAGTTTTTTAGAATGACACATACAAAGTATGAGCAATTTTTGTCTAATCGCACCGGTGATAACAAAATCTTCCCTCAGGCGTGAAACAATTGGAGCTAGTAAACGATTAATGGTCACTTTGAGATACATTTTTGGAGGCACTTCGCAAATAGATCTAGCTGGTATGTTTCGAATAAGTCCGACTTCAAT